ATCAGTTTTTTGCCAGCAAAGACCAAAAATTTTATGAGCGTGGAATTATGCTACTACCAGAAAGATGGCAAAAGGTGTTGGACCAGAACGGTCAATATATAATTTAATAAAGTATTTGTTTATTATACGAAAACTGTCTTTCATTTCCACAAGAAAAAAACGAAATGACTTTCCGAACAACCCTTTATGTTCCTTTACAATTTAATTTCATTTTGTGATGTTTGGCTGTTATTTAAGCTGCAAAATATTTTTATTTTCCCCTTTAAAGATCCCGGTTCAAGTGTCCCTAAGGGTGGGGAGAGTTGACTCATATCCCATTTTTCATTCAAATATATATAACATATTTCAGTACTATTATATCGAAAAAGTAATTATGCATAAGTAAACCTAAATAAATAAGCTACTGTTTATTATTATAATTGAAACACTAAGCCTTATTTATAAGAAAATACGATACTTTAAACAAAAAGCGGTTCAACTCTCCCGGACTTCCCTTAAAACAAAAAGTTTGTCCCCACTAAAAAATGTGAATGATCATCTCTGCTTCTCCAAGGGCTAGATTGGATTGAATTCCAATTTTAATTTTCCTTAATTAATTATATTACATTATCCTTAACCTATTTCATGCATTCATTCACCTTAGAATTTTCGGTTGATTACGCCGAGTGTATGTAATTGATATTGCTTGACTGCAGTAAAGTGCAAAAAAAAAAATGCTACAGTATCACTCACCACATCAATAAGTTGTGAAAGTTTGAGCTTAATTTTGACAGTCAAAGGGTCAGTTACGTTGACGACGGGCCTGACCAGTTTATTGTAGTTTGAAAGGAGATCATCGTAAAGCCTTTTGGCATCAGGATTAGCAGTCGAGATTCCTGGAAATAAAACAACAGCAGCTATACATAGGTCATATTAAAAAGACAAAGTTGGCAATGAATTACTAAAGTGAAAAATAACGCTGTTTTCTTTATTGTATTTATTATTACAGTTCTTTTGGTTAAGGATTGATATGTGTGTAAAATGGTTTTTAAAACGTATTTAAACACAAAATGCACATATTTTTTTGATTTTTTATTTCAAATGTAAAATACAAAATAGATTTCCCTTTTGTATTTTAAATGCTAAATGCAAAATACGTATTTTCAAAGTACTTTTTTCAAATAAATACTTTTTTGTAGTACCTATTTAATTTTCTACATTTACTTAAATCATCATCATC